ATGGTGGGTGTTTACGCAGTTGGCTAGAGCAGTGCTGATTGGGGAGAACGGAGGTGCGCTCACTCTTGCCCAGGGCAAGACTGCAACTCAAGGCTGGCAGTCATGCATATGCTCTGGAACAGAGTAATATCGCGCCCACAACGCAACGTCTCAAATCGCGATTTCGATTAATCGCACAGCCCTACACTGCAGTCAGTTTTTATGAGACGACTCATTTGCATGTCATTGACCATAATCGGCATTTTCATGCATGCTGGTCTGTAAGGTGAAGCTTCATGTCTGCAAGGTTTCCACACCTCCACAACATATTACACATGTTCTAAGGCTACGTCCACACGAAGCCAGAGCTTTCCCTATCCAATCTTTTTTTTCACCTCGTCTCAAGAAATATCTGCGTCCACACGAAACCGACACAGTTACGTGACGTAGCGGTGTCTGACTAGGGGCGAGACGTGGGCTGATGATGTCATCGTTTCAGAAAATATACGGATTCGCTGTCCACACGAAAACGCAAGGGCGGCGTTTTCAGATTTATCCACTCTGGGACCCGGTTTCAAGAAATATTGGTTTCACTCTCCCAAAACGCCGGATCCGTCTGGACGAAGCGCCTATACGATACAAAATGTATGCGCGTGTGTGTGTGTGTGTTTGTTTGGGGGGCACCTGGCATGGGAACACACGGTTGTGAGTATTATCTCTTGGCTTGCATCAGTGGCTCTAATTTCCATCTGGTCTGCATTAGTGGGAAAATGAGGGAGGAGGCAGATCTGGACTCCTCAACCGCAGTCATGAAAGTACACAGACCAAAGGACGTCATCGTTTTAAGGAACTGTTATAGGCATGAATAAACTCTTCAAATATTGGTAGAAAAAAGGCACACGCATTAAATTGAACCAGCTCAAAATGAAGAATTCAGGCTATTCCAAGACAACATGCTTATTGCTTACCTATTTCAAGATTTCTTGAATGAATCTAACATATTTCACATGCAGTACCTCCTAGGGTTTTTCATAACCAAAACTGCTTTAGACAGCAACCTTGGCAATCTCAAACAAAGACAAAAACATTGACTCTTTCAGTTCATGACACTTGAGAGATATTTAAACGTGGTCGCCGTGATTTTGCCAAGTAAGACATGTTCCTGGATCAACATCTTTTGTTGATCCTGGATAGGGCTGCACGATAAATCGCATGCGATATTTAACGCGCATCTTGTCAGTAAAGCCATTCTGTAATCAGCGGTAAATCTCCATCACCTGTGGGCTTTCACATGGAGCAGCATTAACTACACAGAGCCGTTGTTCACCGACAAGCTGCGCAAAATATGATCGTGGTTTTGCGCAGCTTGTCAGTGAACAACGTGGCATGGCAACCTCAAAATGAGGAAACACACCAAACTAAAAAAACACTTTAAAGACAGACACCTGGATAAAATGAAAGAGTTCAAGCAGGTAAGTTTCATTTCATCCCATACATTGATTTATTTGTGGCTGCCCGCCACAATATCAAAACTCACCACCACAAATAGATTTTCCAAAAGGCTTTGACTTCGTTTAATAAACATGTTTTGAGCACTCAATTGAAAATGTACACATAACGTATCAATCGTACTTACAGGCTGTGCGCTTTGGAGAGCTTGTTAGTCCAAATTAAGAAGATTAGCAGCCAACGAACATAAAAGCCAAGATTAGAGAAGCAGTCCTTGGTAAAATGCCATGCACACAACAAAAGGTTTGAATTGTATTTCTGTGGTATCCTTGAACACAGTGTCTTCTCAACATGATGTAAACACACATACCACCTCAGTAGTGCCACAAACTGATCACCTCCATGCCACGCTGAATTGAGGCAGTAATTAAAGCAAATGGAGCCCCTACCAAGTATTGAGTACATGTACAGTAAATTAACATACTTTCCAGAAGGCCAACAATTCGCTAAAAATGTTTTTTTTATTGGTCTTATGGAGTATTCTAATTTGTTGAGATAGTGAGTTGGTGGGTTTTTGTTAAATGTGAGCCAAAATCATCACAATTAAAAGAACCAAAGACTTAAACTACTTCAGTCTGTGTGCATTGAATTTATTTAATACACGAGTTTCACAATTTGAGTTCAATTACTGAAATAAATGAACTTTTCCACGACATTCTAATTTATTGAGATGCACCTGTATAGCACGACATCCATCTGAGATCTGTCCTCAATGGCTGCATTTACACTTTAGATCTGTATTCCCAAATCTGATTTATTTGACAACCTGCTTTTAAAACCTTCTTTTAAAAGTGACCCATATCCCATCTCAATCATATCATATCTTTGCATTGGACAGTGGTTTTAAAAGACCAAATGCTGCACACACTATTAAAGGGTAGGGCTGGGTATCGATTCAGATGTCCCGATTCAATTCGATTTCGATACGCAAGCTCTCGATTCGATTCGATTCGATTCTCGATTTTTTTATTACATTCAGTGAATATAGTTTTAATACAAATGCTATTGATATTTCTAAAATGCTGTGTATGTGATATGACGGTAGATTTCTCAAATGAAACGGTAAATGCTAATGAAATGACTCTCAGAGCAGCTGGAGATGACATTCGTGTTCATATCATCATATAGTGAGACGGCAGAATCTGAAAGCACCGCGAGCGTCATCCGCGCTTTAGTATGTGTAGTGTGCACAATGTAGTGTGCACAAAACAGTGCGCACTGCCTCCATCTGCCATTCATTCATTGCGGAAATCATGGCGCCTTATGCGTGATATCAGATGCTTCCGCAGATTTATAGCATTACTATAGCATTTCACCTGAAGATCTTGTTTTAAATGTGTGCTGAAATAAATACTGGAAAAGATCGATTCACGGCTTTTGACAATCGATATCGAATCCACGTCATTTAAAAAAAACGATTAATCGGAAAATTATGGTTTTCACGAGACTCACGGCGCATGCGCAACGCTGACCTCATACGTCATCAGCCCGGATCTGCTTCAGTTTACAACTGTTGCCGCAAGCTAGATGAAAGTGATTATTACGTTTTGAATATGGATATTTTTCTTACAAAAACACATCCATTCGCTACAGGAGGCCTTTGTTCACCCCCCGGAGCCGTGTGAGACACTTTGTTTTTATGGATGGGCGCTTTTTATTTAACTTCTTTTGGACTGAAGCACTGCAACACCCGCTGACTGTGAAACACTGCCTAATTTTCATTTTTGGGTGAACGAACCCTTTAATAAAGGATACTTTGTATAGAAAAGTAGATGAGTCCAGAATATGAATGCAAAGACTTACTAACTTATTGACAGAACTCGTGCTAAGTTAGCGGGTCTGGGTTCTAATCTGAACTCGTATAGTTTTGTGTTCATCATTGATTGTATATCAAGAGCAGGAACATGCTTGTGTGCATTTTATTTTGTAATTTCACCCGAACGAATAGAGTCTCCACAACAGTTAGCAACAGATGGAAGCGCTCGTCTGTGTAACACAAACGAACGAAATTAATATTCGGTTCGTCAACTAGAAACGTTTCATTTGTAATAGATATATCTGTACTGCGAGAGGTTTCAAAAACATTTGACATCCAACACGAATTAACAGGGCAATATCCGATCTGTCCGGTTACACGGCAGGCGCAAATGCATGTAAGCGATTCATATCAGATTTATTTCCACATATGAATGAGGCCTGAAACCGATCTGAGAATATCGGAATCCCCATGTGCTTTTTTTCCCTGCTTACACGTTCATGGGTCATATCGGATCTGTGCCACATGGGAGGAAAAATCTGAATTGGGTCACTTGAATCATGCAGTGTTAATGAGGCCAATGAGAGCACTAGAGAAATCCGAGACACAATTAAGAAAAACTTCACTCATATGTGTCAACATCTATAACAGGCATGTTTTATTAAGCAAACTTCAGCAGACTCTTCAAGTGAAGAGCGAACAAGAGAAACTGCCATTTATGATTTCATGCAACGTTATTGCAGTAAGTTAAAGATAACAGACGACATCAAAACACTCCGGATCATCTGGTCTTGTTAGTGGCTACCGTTATAAGTTAACGTTACATGACAAACTGATCGCTCTCCAAGAGCCAGTCAAAATCTAGGAGTCGGGAGTTGAAATGAGTGTAATGTGTTTAACTTTCGGTTTAGCGTTCAGAAGACCTAACTTAAGTTAAGTTTACAAGCTGAAGTTTAAGGACACTTCCTACTATCAAGCTAACTGGCTAAAACACACGTTATGTCACGTTAAACGTTATGTCAGCTTAAAAAGAACCGCGTTGTGTTAAGAAACCACATGTTATCGGTTATTAATGAGAAGAAACGCTGTCGTTTGTCATCCTCTTTAGATGAGTTTACGTTGTTTATCATAGTAACCAAACACAGTAATGAGTTAAACAACAAAACAAACACAGAGCTCAAAGAAAGAACGACAAACAGCGGCACACTTGAAGGAACGTTTAGGAAAACCATACTCACGGCAACAAACTTTCTGCAGACGACTGGAGGAAGCCAAAGAACAAAACCAGCCGTAGGGTCCTACGCAACAGAACAAAACGAGAGTGTGGAGAGATCTCGATCTCTCTCTCTCTCTCTCTCTCTCTCTCTCTCTCTCTCTCTCTCTCTGTCTCTCTCTCGTGGCGCCATTTGGGGAATGTGGCACGAGAACTGTTTGATGACGTCATCTGCGCGGCACGCCTTCCTCTTGGCTGTGGCTCAGAGACGAGTAACAAGCCTGTGGATATTGTTCTTAATCATTATCTATACTTATGTATTTTGTTGCATATTTCAGGGAATATTGGTGCATCTAATTGTTTTCAAATGTTTTTCGATTTCCATAACAAGTCTTAATATCAGTCATTAGGCCTACTTCCACGTGTTGGAATTTACTTATAGGCGACAACAAAAGATAAAATATACAGTTTGTAAGAAGGAGCCGTTTGATTTGACATTATGCATGTTTTGTATATAAAATATATACATTCTGCCCAACATAGCAAGAGTCAAGCATGAAACGTTGAGAAATATTCTCAAATCTATGCATTTACTGACATCTAGTGGTGCTCTAGTGTTACAATAACAACAAAGAACAGCACTTCCCTATTTTACACCGATCAGGCATATTATGACCGCTGACAGGTGAAGTGAATAACACTGATTATCTCTTCATCACGGCACCTGTTAGTGGGTGAGATATATTAGGCAGCAAGTGGACATTTTGTTCTGAAAGTTGGTGTGTTAGAAGCAGAAAAAAATGGGCCAGCGTAAGGATTTGAGTGAGTTTGACAAGGGCCAAAATTGTCAGTAGCCCCTCACTGCAGAACACAAGATCCAGAGGGCATGGTTGGCTCCACATCTAGGGGGTGGAGATTGGTAGGTTTAGGGGTGTAGATGGGTGGGTTTAGGGATCAGGGGGTGGACAGGGTCATGGGTGGCTACGGCTCACTGATGCACATGGGGAGCGAAGGCTGGCCCGTGTGGTCCGATCCAACAGACGAGCTACTGTAGCTCAAACTACTCTAAGTTAATGCTGGTTCTGACGGAAAGGTGTCAGAATACACAGTGCATCACAGTTTGTTGCGTATGGCGTATCACCGCCGAAAGCGCCAACAGTTGGCACGTGAGCATCAGAACTGGACCACGGAGCAATGGAAGAAGGTGGCCTGGTCTGATGAATCACATTTTCTTTTACATCACGTGGATGGCCGGGAGCGTGTGCGTTGCTTACCTGGGAAACGCATGACACCAGGATGCACTATGGGAGGAAGACAAGCCAGCGGAGGCAGTGTGATGCTTTGGGCAATGTTCTACTTCGAAACCTTGGCCTGCCATTCATGTGGATGTTACTTTGACACATACTACCTACCTAAGCATTGTTGCAGGCCATGTACACCCTTTCATGGAAACGGTATTCTCTGGTGGCTGTGGCCTCTGCACACTGTGGCCTTTTGCCACAAAGCAAAAATGGTTCAGGAATGGTTTGAGGAGCACAACAACGAGTTTGAGGAGTTGACTTGGCCTCCAAATTTCTCAGATCTCAATCCAATCGAGCATCTGTGTGATGTGCTGAACGAATAAGTCAGATCTATGGAGGCCCCACCGCGCAACTTACAGGACTTAAAGGATCTGCTGCTAACATCTTGATGCCAGATACCACCGCACACCTTCGGGGGTCTAGTGGAGTCCATGCCTCAACGGGTCAAGGCTGTTTTGGCAGCAGAAGGGGGACCAACACAATATTAGGAAGGTGGTCATAATGTTATGCCTGATCAGTGTATATCATAACAAGTAAAAATATAATGTAGAGACAAATTTTACATTTTTATTCATAATTGCATTTAGATTATATACAAAATATAGGATACAAAAGTTATTAAAGGAAAAACGACAGAAAAATTATTAACCAACTAGAAAGGTCCTGCTTCTTATGATGTGTCTCGCATACGTGCATATGGGTTTGGTGAGTAAGTGACATGACATTCCTTTTCAGTTATTCCTTTCATATTGCTCTCGGAAAGCAGTATCACGTTTTATTTGTTAATATTGCTAATATTGTAGGCTCCTGACTTTAAGGTAAGCGTCTATACATAAATTAGCTTTCAAAAATAAACGCACCCTCAAAAATAATCAGGAAAAAGTAACCTATAAGGTTATGGCCTGGTTTCACAGACAGGGCTAAGACTAAGCCAGGATTAGGCTATAGTTCAATTAGGACATTTTTATAAACATGTCTTAGAAAAAAACATTACTGGTGTGAATCTTGAGACAAAACAAGGGCACTGACCTATTTTAAGATCAATCAGTGCAAGTTTCTTTCAGTTGAAACCGCTCAGACTTATATTTTAGTCTGGAACTATAGGCTTAAGCCTTGTCTGTGAAACCGGGAGGTACGTGTTCCAACATTTACCTCACTATTACAATAAGCTGTAATAACCTTTATAAAATCTTTAAGCATTTTATTGAATTTTATTCTTTAGCCCGAACATTACATCATGTGTATTTAGATTTACAACTTCTGTCATTTTTTTTCCAAAAGCTTTTGACACTATTAAGTTTGTCTTGCAAACCCTGGGATTTCATTCATGGAATGTATTTAGTTAGTTATATAGTACTCTTTCTGTATAGTTAGATCTCTTTGTGTAGAGTAGACGTATTGTATCAGGTAAATGTGCAAATCTAAACACTCTCAGAAAAAAAAAACAAGGTGCAAAGCTGTCATTGGCGCAGTGCCATAAGGTACAAAACCTAAAGGTGCATCTTTGTGCTTTTTTTTTAAAACCCCTATTAGTAGATTAAAGGTACTAGTACTTTAAAAGTGCATAGTACCTTTTGAAAAGGCATTGACCCTTTTGTACTTTTTTTTTTTTCCTGTCAGTAGAGTTTTAGTTTTTCAAAACATTGTTTTTATTAATTATGGCATGGAAGGTACATCCGAAACTTTTCATAAAACTAAACATTTTCTTTCATGTGTTGAGATCTGTCCCCAGGTGCTAGTAATTAGTCACCCTCTTTTCAACATTAGATGGAGCTATAACTCTATTCTAACAGTTGGAAGCTGCAGCAGTCTGTGCTTGTTCTGTGGTTTTCAATGTGCAACTAACCAAAATGGGAAAATATCTCATATTAAAACCATGTGCCACATCACATGCTTTCTTTTTTTCCTTTTACAGACTATATGGATTTGGACAATGTGAATGATAAATAGATAACAATGGCAAGAGAAGATAAATAACACTTTCTACAACCTGTCATACCACAGTGATCTGATATGCAGGTGGACTTCAGGGTAATGAACTCTGAGATTTGCCTTTTGAATTTGGGCTTGTGTATGGTATGCATAAAAATGTATATTAGAGAATGATTCATGTTTTAATCAATACTATTTTTTATAAACGCACACACCGCTCTTGTGCCACTTAGAAATAACATGCTGAGACATGGGACACATATTGGCAGTGACACTGGTGATAATGGATGAGCACACAGAAGCACACATTATCATTGTTGTATATGATCCCACCTCCTATTTCTGCATGACTGCCAGGCCCAAGGCTGATGCCAGGCGCTGATAGCTGGCAGACTGTCAGTAATTTGTGTTAATTGTGGGAAGTTTCCATTGCTGGCGACCAGTCAGCTGGCACCACTACAGCCTGGTATCCATGTGGCCCAGGAGCTCATTCGTGCGTTCTGCATGTCTGCTTTCACTGTTGATCAACGATCAGTGTCTGTCACTAAAATATCTTGCTCTTACATTGTTAGGGCATTAAAAACACTGCTTAAAAGAGTCTCAGATCAACAGCTGAGAAGCTTATTGTCACAGTTTATCTAGATTCCTGATTAATTACTGAAGATGCAATCTGCTCATTTTAAAATCGTCTGAATTTATCCGTGCAAGTCTTTAATATATTTTCAACTTTCACCACGTAGTCAAAAAAGCTAATCTTATTTTAAGGTATTAGAATAATTGTATTTCAGATGCTGTGAAAAATGAACACAATGTAGGTAACCCTTATGTAAGGAAAATATATTTCCTTATATATTAATACATTTCTTATATAATTCAATATATTGAATTATTTAATGTATGTTCAAAATATACAGCATAATATATTGTGTTAATATATTATATTGAATAATACATTTGGAATTGCCGCTTTCCATATATTGAAATATATGTGACAATACACTTTATATATCGTAATGTATGTAATTTTTCTATTAAATAATACACTTCATAACAGGGTACTGTGTGTGTGTGTGTGTGTATGTATATATATATATATATATGAATCAAATTATCAATATATAACCATACGTGGTCCATGCATATATTGCAGTACATTGAAAAATATAAGCAATAGTTTCCAATAGATATTTAAAATATCGCATTATATTTTGCAGTATATTCCTAGTATGTTTCATAAGGGAATATAGGTTATACACTATTAAATAAGAAAAAAAGATGAATTAAATTTCAAAGGAAAAATATTAGTCAAAGTTATATTAATGAAATATAAGCTCATTAATTTCTCTTACAAGCAATTCATCTTTTACCAGTAGGTATTTATCATTTTTTAACTAACCACAATTAAGTAATTACACTAAGTTAATTAATTAATACTTTTTTTTCATAAGCAATAGTTTCCAATAGATATTTAAAATATCGCATTATATTTTGCAGTATATTCCTAGTATGTTTCATAAGGGAATATAGGTTATACACTATTAAATAAGAAAAAAAGATGAATTAAATTTCAAAGGAAAAATATTAGATTCCTAGTATGTTTCATAAGGGGAATATAGGTGATACTATTAAATAAGAAATAAAAAAAATGAATGAAATTTCAAAGGAAAAATATTAGTAAAGGTTGTATTAATGAAATATAAGCTCATTAATTTCTCTTACAAGCTATTCATCTTTTACCGGTAGGTATTTATCATTTTTTAACTAACCACAATTAAGTAATTACACTAAGTTAATTAATTAATACTTTTTTTTCCTATCTTTCCAGACATTGCAGACTCATCATAGATGCCCAGACAAAAAATGCACTATTGGCTCTGAAACAAAAG